AATATTAATATTAATATTAATACTAATATTAATACTAATATTCGTATTAATATGAATATTAATACTAGTACTTCCGCACAGTGACATGTCATGTCAAACCAGTCCGCGGCTCTTCTGCAGGTTTTCGGGTGGGCTCTCCGCGTGGTTCTGAAGCGTCACGGCCAACCGCTGTCGGGCTCTCGGTTTTGGCTACCAGAAGTCTGAGACTGCTATGACCTGCTCAAGAGAAGTCATCGCAAGTGAGGCCCTGCTTTTTTCCTGTCACCATCGTTTCAATAGCAACACCATACGGCAGCAGAGGCAGTGATCAGGGTCGTGCTGTGGATCAAGCTGTTGTTCCCATGACTGTACCCAGAAGTGCGCGGAAATGGTCTTGGCATGACTCTTGGCTTCTGAGATCTGCTGAGCCTGGTCGTGGCCTCCGGGCCGCTGGTGGAACACACCTTGGCTTCGATCTGAGGCCCGAAACGAAGCGGTCTCCTTCCACACCAGGCACCGTGGGAAATTGCTTCCGCAAGCAGAGCTGTCAGAAACTGATGCACAGCCACGTTCCCTTTCCCGTTTCTGCGCGGGCTGTTCCGATGGCTTCCGATGGTCAGGCTTGGGCAAGCGCATTGAGAAGCCGCGAGATGCGACTTAGACAAACTCAGAGCCTCAGTCGGGCCTGAATTAGACTCTGAATTATAGTATTAGTTTTATAGTTGACAGTTGACAGCATGAGGACAGACAGAAGGAACACTAGAGTTTTGTGCACGGGATGCCAGTCAAAGCTGTGTTGCGTGGCTCAATACAAGCCTCTACAGGAGCCAAAAAAACAGGGCCGGAAGAGTAGATCCTAGATAGTAGGAAGTAGATGCACTGACGACAGCGGTCGTTGACCGCTTTAAGGCGGCATCGGCGTATGCGAGTCTGGAGGATCTTGGCCAGGCATGGTCCGGGCCTTGTCCTCAGCAAAGGGTCAGTTTGAGCACGGGATAGGACTTATGAAATGTTGTGAGTGTCAGCCTGCCATGTATTTTGAGATGAGAGCTGGGAGCTACTAGTCTACAGAATGGTAAAATGTTCCCCTGGAAGGTTCCATGAAGGCCGTGATCACCAAGCGGTTGAAGGACTCGGGGTGTTCAATCTTCGGATGTGCGGCTCTTGGTGTCCACACCTCATTTGTGCAACGCCCGATTGCCCAGGAGAGGACGAGCAGAGGGACCTGGAGGCGCAAACCTCTGAGAACTGCATCGCTGTCTGATCGTTGAATCTGTGGCCTTTCAGCTGAGTCTGAGCTTTTGCCTCGCATCCGCCGTGGGTGTGGGAATGAGGGAGCCGGAAGTGTGCAAACCCAGATTGGAACAGCGGGCACGCGTTGGACTGACGAGCTTCGGTTGCTGAAAGGCCATCGTGCGGAAGCAGCTGTCTCTATCGACCGAGGAGCTCGTTTGGGAGGCTCGACGTTTATTGACCGATGGCCTGCCTCAAAGACAAACATTGTGTAGTTCTTGTAATTCTATGTACGTACATATACATCTGCACTCATACGCATGTCAAATGTAGTCTTCAGCTCTGCGTCCGGTCTGTCACAATTGAATACGACCGCTATCGGCGCGGCAGTACGCTGGGTCAATTCAAGCAGCCTTCCCGTGGGCAGGCGCTTGCAGAGGCCACGGGCGGTGGTCAGGATTCCGAGCTGACGAGTTTGGCGGAGGCAGAGCCGCGACAGAGGAAAGAAAAGATTTGGCGGATATGGTAGCAAGACGTGACATTCAGCGTTGACTGCTGTGACCACTGTCATCATTGAAGTTGAGCAAGCGGGAAAATCGACGTTCCTTCCACTGACGACGACCAGGTGCTCGTCAACGAGTTCCTGCTCGTCACTGATGCGCTGATGGAAGCCTTGGCACTCCGGCAAAAGTTATTAAGACACCTTCTCGGACAACATAAAATAGTGCGAGATCCGAACGCTTCCACTGCAGCACCAAAGCTTTGAAGGCAGTTGCCTGTGCCACTACTAGAGCGCATGGACGTAGGGGCGATACAACTATAAAATACCGGACAAGCAGTCTCCATGTACCTGCTCTGAGCGAATCACGCCACGTTTTTGGCAGGTTTCCGGAAACATCGAGAACTGGCTGACGACCCTCGGCACTCTCCTTACAGGGTGTGATTTCATTCTAGAGGGCCACGCTGTTTGGCGATATGCGGTTTACTGTGTATGCGCAATTCTGAAGTCTGTCTGCACTGCCAGCCAGTCGTGTGGCTGGAGATTTGTGAGCGCAGTTGCATAGAAGAGCCTGCTCCGACTGCTCCGAGGCATTGAGGCCCCGGGAACGCAGAGCCAGCAAGAGCAATTCCAGGCGGCGCACTCGTAGCAAGTGGCAGAGGTTCGCGACTGTGGCAAACCGACGCTTCCTAGGCGAAACGGTGAAGGCCCGCCCCCCACCCCCCCCACGGGCCCGGGCAGGGAGAAGACCACTTCCCAAGGGGAGCGCGGAAACCCCAGAACTAGGATTCCCAAAGCGGAGCAGAAGAGTCAAGCAGAGCAGAAAGAGGAGAGGAGAGACAGTGCCAGGCTCTCACAGACGAGCTGCAAGGCGTGCTTGCGACCCAGGCAGACGGCAACGAGGTGCGGCCCTCCTTCAGATCACTCCCCTCCGTTGCTGCTGGTAGGATTCTCAAGTTGACCTGTTGGTTCTCGCTTGGAGCACTGCTCAAAATTGCTCAACACCCGTGCCTGTGCGTGTCTCACACACTGTTGAACAAATTGCTAAGCAACGGAATGACTAGAATTGATATACAGGACTCCGTCGCCCACGTCTGCCGCCTCACCGTTGCTGCGCCAGAGCTTCGGGAGCTCTGCGCGGCGCGGACGACCGAGTTGCTGCAGGTAGCGTTCCGAGACTCCACTGCTGTTATTGCTCCTGTCCTTCGAATATTTGCACAAGAGTTTCTGTTACTCTGCAGAGCATCACTGTCCGCTACTGTAAACGCACGTTCCTTGCATTGAGCAGCCTGGAAGCCTGTGACAAGCAAACAAGCTCGTGTCCGAGGTCCGAGTGCCAGGGGAGCCTGAAACCCGAAACTTCTCTGACTCAGCCTCTTCCGAAGCAGGATCAAGCTTCTCACAGACTGCTTTCCTCGAGCAGGCACGTTATTTCAGATTGAATGTGTGCAGAGAGACTTGGATAAATAGTTTGCCTCGAGGTGTGCACGGAGGCCAGAAACGGAATATTCCACGCTCCCGCTGTGGCACGCTACGTGCATGGTTTGCGCTTCAGTCCCATGATTTGCACGGTCCCGGTGCGGTCGCGTCCTCTTCGTTGTAATTGCAAATTCTATTCGTTGAAAGAACTGGCCTCGTGGTTGTCTCGAAAAGGTCGAAAAATCTCTCAGACAATAAGGAAGCATTTCGGGCATGTCTGTGAATCCCGCCAGTATACAAGGTGCCCTCAAGTCTAAGACGCTCGAAGTGCTTCATGTCCCAGTATGGCCACACTGGGATGCTTCTTGGAGTCCTTCATGTGGACTCCTACGCCCGCCAGTGCACGTGGGGCATCTTGGGGTGGTGTCTTCCGTCCTGTATTCCGCTTCATGATCCATGAGTGGTGGTGGTGGTGCTGGTGCTGCTGCTGCCGGTGCTGGTGGCGCAGGTCTTTAGTCCTGGTCCTGGCTGTCCTGGTATCTAGACTTTGCACTCAGCCGCCCGGTGCTCCCCATGCGAAGGTCCAGTTGCATGTCTAGCAGGAGGCCGTTCTCCTTCCCGCAAGAACCCAGAAATCGGGCGTCGCAAGTGCTGTTGTCGTGATGATGGCATGGTTCACCTTTCGTGAGTACTAGATCTTCGTCAGAGTACGGGACAACAATCGGAGCCATGAAAGCCAGTGAAATTGAACATGCAAGCATACGGCTTTCTCGATCCGGATGAGCTTGGTCACACTAGCTCGTGTGCGGGCGTACGTATGTCAGAGGTAGTGGGTGGACTTATTAGAATGGAAATCGGGAAGCACCGGCACAAGACTTCTCACTCATGCTCCATCTCTGCAATGCCATCAGATGGACCTGGACCCCAAAGTATGTAGAATAATAGCCTTTTATGGGTTTTGGGCCATTAATTTACCTACTTTTGGGGGTTTAGGGAGTGAATCCAAACTTGGATTTCTGTCGCAGGTCACTGGACGAGGCTCAGCCAGAAGCACTGGAAACCGGCAGCGCGGTAGCATGGATCTATACCGGCCTGCTGCAGTTGCGGCCAACAAATCTTCTCCTGGACATTGCAAGCTATTCTAGTTTCTCGCAATCCTACATTTTGACGGTGCAAAACCTTACAAGGGCAGGAAGGGCACGCATCTTCGATGCATAGCACTTTGGCAATGCTTCACCGAGTGCGTTGTCCGATTCTAGAATCTGGTCCACGTTCCACCATGGGTTCAACAAGGTCCAGTGCAGCTTAAAGTGACTTCGTTCCGAGGAGTCGGCGTCTCGGACGATACCCCCGAGACCCCCAACTTTGCGCAGGCGAGGACCAGGAGGATAAATTTCAGGAGCCCCAAATTGAATGGGCCGGCTGCCTAGCGAGGATTGCTGCTCTTGAGCCTTCGCAGGAAATGTCATCCTTTGTCCAACGTTTGCGCACGCACACGCGCGGGCGCACGTGTTTATCATTATCTACACATGCAGAGAGAGTGATACAGGTATACACCCAAATCAAACACGCTCATGAAACGTATCTTTGCATAGCAATGCACTGCATCTTGGTTGTATATACACGTTTTGCTCCTACACACGGGCGTACCTGAAGGTTCTGTGTGTGGAACATTGCCTATGTATGTATGTGTGTATGTACATACGTATGTACGTATGTAGATGTACGTATAATGTTTATATATATATAGGTGTATATGTACGTATGTATGTATATGTATGCATGCATGCATGCATGTATGTATGTGTGTGTATGTCTGTGAAGGTAGGTGCATGCATGTATATAGCAGCCATACATATTCTGCTATTGAGCATTTCTTCGCTTCCTTGTCTTCTTGGTTTATGTTTTTTACCTCCTTCAGATGCACATGCACCTGGCTGAGTTTAAGTTCTCGTGTCGGTATGGTGCTTCCCGGTGCCACCCGTATCCGCAAGGGCTTGAGCATCCCACCAGTACGGCAGCACCTGTGCTTTACAGGTTGAGGACACGGTCACAGCCGAAGAGAGCCCCAGCTGCACACGCTAGCCTCGGGCAACTGTGGGTTTGAGGTTTCAGGAGGTTTTGGACTTCGGGGTTAGCAATCAGAAGCCCAAAAAGGGCCGGATGCAGTGCTTTAGGGCAAGGGTTCATCCCATCCAAATCAAACCTTGCAGTCCAGGCTCCCTGAAGTGCAGCTCGACGAAGAGGCCTGATTCGATTCATGCCTTGACGCAGTCCAGTGACTTTTTCTGAGTTGCCGAAAGGTGGATGGAGCGATCCCTGCAGCCGAAGAGCCTTTTGCCGGAGAGGAGCCATTGGCAGAGCACGCTGACGAGGCAGGTGGGCTTCGCAGAATTTGCAGGGCAAGTAAACAACATCCCGTATGGATGGAGGTCAGGTCGGGAAGGGACGTGCATCCCATTCAGTCGTGAGATTTGGCATGTGGGTAATTTTTTGCCGGCATTTTGAATCTGAGTATATAGCGTCAGCTACGATCCATACATTTCATGCAGGGCTGTGTGCAAGCGCGGAATGCACGCTGTCGGGTGAACTGCACCTTGAACGATGTGCTTTCGTAGCTTGCGCATGTCGGTTACAGCATAATTCATGAGGCGCACCAGGAACTCAGTCCCAAAAGCCTGTAAAGGCCCCCCCCCCCGCCACTCGCTCCAGGCGGAAGAGCGCCCGGGTACCTTCGGGGCCGAGGCCGCCGAGGCCGCCGAGCCCGCCGAGGCCGAGCCAGGATCCTTGGAAGATCTCGAGGACGCCTTCTGAGCGTACGGCACCCTCGCACGATCCGCTCTCGAGATGTCTACCTTAAATTAGCCAGAGCATGGCAAGGAGGAGCATTGCAACACTCTTTACAGCAGGCATGTAGCAGACTCGGGGCTGAAGGCCCGAGCACCCTCCTCCCTGAGGCATCGGAACGATCTGCCCCAGGGAATTTGAGTTAATGCATTCCCAGCTGGACGCCTCCACGGAAGAAGTCGTGGATCAGGAAGGTCACAAAAATCAATGCAGACCTGCAATTGCTGCCAGCAGCGGCGACGAATAATTCCTTACGGGTCCACGATTTCGTCCTTGTCCTTCGTCTGACTGATGGCACCATCCAACGTCGTACGGTATTGAAATGATTGTCGCTGCCACCTAGACAAAGGCATACACAGGCCAAGCAAAAATGTCCGTTGCCTCGCCGAGCTGCATGGGACATGGCAGTACAAAGTTGTGGATCCCTGAGACAACAAAGAGGGTTCCAGCTCTTGAATTGTCAGAACACTCTGACGGAGATTCGATCTGTAATTTCTTACCATAGCCAGTCTCCGGACTCCTCGCTGCCCAAAGAAGAACGACACAAGAAGCTGCGATGGCGCACAATACTAGCATCGTCAGTCATGTCGTTGCAGGCCATCAGTCGGCCTGTGTTATGGCTTCAGTCCGGGTAGACCTGGCTAAAATGGCCAGCTTGCTCTGGCAAGCGCACGCAAAAAAGCTCGGCACATCAAAGAAAGTAGCTGTCTGCGAAGGCTTTAGGGCATCTCCTCGAACTGCAATGGCTCCCCTGCAGGACACAACTCGATGCTCTAAACACCTCTAGGTCGCCAGGCTTGTCGCGATACATAGGCCCAGTGCTTAACACTGCTCGAAGTGGCGCCCTGATTGTCGCAGTGAAGAATTGAAAGCGCTGCCCCTGCGAAGGTACCAGCTTCGTCTATCACGCGCGGGCTGTTGCTTGCACTTTCTGTGGCCGCCGGTACTTCCCTGCATCCATACGGCTCCATGAGGATATGGGGGAATGGTTGCCCAGAGCCGGTTATAGAAGCTGAATGAATCAGGGCTCATGGATAGGTCTAACTTAGAGCTTGTGACTGAATGGTTAGCATGTAATTAGTATGTCGTGAGCCAGAAAGATACCAGCTCTTTGCCTGTCGTCTGCTTGCAGGGTTGAAGCGCAAGTTCCGTTCCGCATGAGCTTGCAACGTTTCCAGTTCCTTCTTGTGCTGTTGCGCTGCATTGCGAGGAGCGCTGCACTGCGCGCTGGAGCCAGAGCAGGTGTGCATGAACGAGTTTAGGTGACGGGCTTTCTTTGCACTTGCATAGAGCGCTTGACTGGGTTTGACTGGTACAACATCCATGCATCCACCCATCCATCCATGAATGCATGGACGTATACGAGTACATCTACATATATATATATATATATTTATATTTATACGTGCATGTTTACATACGCACCGACATTTATGAATGCATACACCCATACATCTTACGCTCTGTGCTTAAACATGCGAGAGGTGAGGCTATCGTCAGCGTGCTCGGAAGACTTAAGCCTCTGATAACAACTATTGTCATGGTAACGTTTGGTAGCGGTTCAGAGGAGGATAGTTACGGTGATGTTGCTGTTCTTGATGTTCATGATGATGATGATGGTGTTGATGATCATGATGACAATGATGATGATGACGACGATGACTGTAATGCTTCCGCAGCCGGCGCGGAATTTCTGAAGCTTCAGCATGGAAGGCTGAGTTTCACTATTGAGCCGGATGTTCTCACGATTGCCATCGTGGATGCTCTAATTCAGAAACATTAGGAACCTGATGCTCTTGCGAAGCGTGGATGTCACAGCGGATGTTGTCAAGATGACGGGGTCGGAAGCCCGCAACCGCGAAGCCTTGGCTGTCTTCAAACGGCTGGTACTATGTTTGTATGCATGTATGTATGTGTCTATGCACACACACACATATATATATATATATATATGGTACCCCCCC